CTGAGTCTCCAAGAACACGCCTAGCCATAGAGACCATACAGTCCACTATCAGCCCTCGAAAGTCATAACAACTATGTCCAGCAATCGAACGCAGTAAACGAAACGACCAGACAGAGAGAGAATGCATGTGAGGTGGAGAGAGAGAGAGAGAGGGGGGAGAGAGAGAGAAAGAATCAGACACTCTCCTCCTGTCCTGAACATCATCATCGTCACAATTACCATCATCCATATCATATGCCTAAGGCATGTGCATACATGCAAGCAACAAGTACGCCAACAAAGGCTCCTGCAAAAACTTGAAGTGGTGTGTGCCCTAACAGTTCTTTCAGCTTTGTGTCACTTACAGGATGACCTTCAAATAAATCCTCAATAATTCTATTCAGTACCTGCAAGAGACAGAGAAAGAGAACGAAAGAGAGAGAGAAAGCAAACGAAAGAGAAAGAGAAAGAGAAAGAGAAAGAGGAAGAGAAAGAGGAAGAGAAAGAGGAAGAGAGAGAGGAAGAGAGAGAAGGAGAGAAACAGAAAGACAGACAGGCACACCCAGACGGACGGACAGACAGACAGACGGACAAACAGACAAACAGACACAGGGAACACATATCAATACCTCAGAAGAGTGAGTGGCCTGGGGAAAATGCCCTCCCGGGACCTCACAGTTACGTTTTGCATTGAAAAATCAGTCAAAAATGTCACTTTTTGCATTGAAAAAATGTAAATTTCGCACTGAAAAAAGTTCACTTTGCGGACCCAGAAAGAGTCCCCTAAACCGTCTTCACTCAAATAGAACGCCCGGTCATTATAGCGGTATGAGGAGCAACTTTTTCGATCCAGATAGGGAGATAACGACGGGGAGTTTTATTCGTGTGAAGACCGTAGGTCCCACACTTACCTGGATTCTCCATTTCTCACCGTAGATTGTGAAGATCGACGGCCCGAACAGCAATGAAGAGCACCTCGCAAAATCAGACTAGGCCCCAAGTATTTTAAATTTAAAATGCAAAGATTTGACTGTTGCCCCTCATACCGCTATAATGCGACCTGACCCGAACAGCAAAATGGGACTTGGCCCCAAGTGAATGTGCTGCATACGAGATCACCATCGGCCAACTCGAACAGAGAGGAAACATTGCCTGAGCAGAAAAAACAGGGTGGTTGGGTCTCCGCTTGTTCAAACGCGCCCTGCGCACAGCGACAGACATGAAGCCAAGAAGCCGAGGGAGGAAGAAGAATAAGAGTAAGAGCAGGGGAAGCAGTAGGAGGAGGAGGAGGAGGAGGAGGAGGGGAGCAAAGAAATGAGGTAGGAGAAGAAAACGAAGGCAGGGAGGGAGAAGGAGAGGAGCAAGAGTAGAAGCAGGAGCAGGAGGAGAGAAAGACAAAGAAACGAAGTAGAAGACAGAAGAAGAACGTCGTCCTCCCTGCCTACGATCGTGCCACGTGTTCGGGTCAAGACGGTAGTCTCAAGATCGTAAAATGGATCCACAAGGCATCATCACAGGCGGGGAGGACTCATTCTTCTTCTTTTCGTCTTCTACTTCAATTCTGTCTTTTTTTCCTCCTACTGCTACTCCTCCTCTTACTCATCTCCTTCTTCCTCCCTGCCTCCTCCTCCTTCTGTCTTCTACTTCATTTCTTTGTCTTCTCCTCCTGCTACTGCCTCCTCCTTCTTCTGTCTTCTACCTCATTTCTTTGTCTTCTCCTCCTTCTGCTACTCCTACTCTTACTCATCTCCTCCTTCTTCCTCCCTGCCTCCTCCTGTCTTCTACTTCATTTCTTTGTCCTCTCCTCCTCCTTCTGCTACTCCTCTTTCTCCTATTCCATTTCTTCCACCCTGCTTCCTTCTTCTTCTTCTTCTGTGTTCTACTTCTTTTCTTTGTCCTCTCCTCCTCCTCCTCCTTCTGCTACTCCTACTCTTACTCCTATTCTTCTTCCTCCCTCGGCTTCTTCGCTTCATGTCTGTCACTGTGCGCAGGGTGTGTTGTGTTCGAACGAGTGGAAACCCAACCACCCTCTGCGCTCCTAGAGAAGGGGACCGCGGTCGGGATACCATAGACACCGTCATCCCAGTCATCATTATCACTATCTCTACGTGTCCCTCACTTCTTTTTCTGCAGCTGCTTTTGCTACGTTTTTTTTGGGGGGGGGTTCCCACCATTGCCCTGCATTTTCAATTTGTCGTCTTCCCGCTACCGACCCAACCACCCCATGAAGCAGCCGACTTCTTCGGCGTCAACGAAAAAAGGGAGAACTCTAGAACGGGAGTGGTTGGGTCGCCGACTCAGAAGAAAGGGAGAATTCGAAAATGGGGACCACCCACTCTGGGGGCAAAGAAGGAACGACGCAGAAAGAGGGGGACGGGCCCGGTGGGGGAGGGGGAAGGGGGGAGGGGGGAGGAGGGGGGAGGGGCGGGAATCTTTCTTTCTCCCTGTGGAGGACCACCCACCCACCCACACACGTGTTATATCCAACATGCGCTTGGTGTTCGCTGCCATTCGATGGGCACCTGCGAATTAACGGACTGATTTGATTGATTGGTTGGATGATACATTGATTGGTTAATTGATTCATTGATTGATTGGTAAATTGGTTGGTTGATTGATAAATGGATGGATGGATAGAGTGATGGCTGATACTGTGCTGACAAAACAAGGAGACAGGGTAATTCGTGATCGACTGACTGAGTAATTACTAAACAGATTGATTGGTTATTAGTTTGACAGATTGATTGGTTATTAATTTGACAGATTGATTGGTTATTAATTTGACAGATCGATTGGTTATTAATTTGACAGATTTATTGGTAGACGACCGATTAATTAGCCCATTGATTAACGAATTGGCTATAACTGATTCATTGACTGATTCATGGATTGCCTCTCTAGGATTGGAGTGATTGATTAACCGAGTGATGAACTGACCAGATCAACACAGAAAGCTTAGTTCATTGATTGGTTACCTTTATGGGTCTGCTACGTAAAAATTAGCGAACACAAAGGATTTCTGTCAATAACAAATTGATTGATGACTGAGCAATTGGTCAACCTCCTACCCAGGATTCAGATGACGTTTCTGCGACTGATTAACTGATTAATTGATTGATTAACTCATTTGATCGATTGAGATGGGTGGAGATAGATTGAGATTTGATCGAGGTCGACATTGATTTCAGCTTTGATTTGAGATCGATTTAGATCGATCTGAGATTGGTTGAGACATCGAGATCCATTGATTGATTCATTGATCGATTGATGGATTGATTGATTGATTGCTTGATTGATTGATCGATCAATTGATTCATTATTCCAGACACTACTACAATAAGACGACGCCAACTAAAAGTCAGAGCAACCAAGGAAAGATTGATTGCTTGATTGATTCATTCATTCATTCATTTATTCATTCATTCATTCATTCATTCATTTATTCATTCATTTATTCATTCAACGACGCGAACTAAACCATGAAAGGAAGACGAGAAAAGAAGAGAAGGGACGCAAGGAGAGGAGGCCAGTAGAGAAAAGGGCATTGGTGGGCGATTCGTACAAGGAGCAGGAGGTGCAAAGGCTCAAGTGATTGATTAATTAACCCAATTGTAATCTATTACTTACCTTGGCTAAGATTCCGGCGTGCCTACTCACGCACGCCGGAATCCGAATCCAAGCCACAGGGCAACCATGAAAACAGGACGAGACGAGAGGAGAAGATACGCGAGGAGAGCAGGGAAGCAGCGCGCAAGGGGGATTGGGGGATTCGAACAAAGAGAAGGGGGTACAGAGGCTTAAGTGATTTGATTAATTAACCCACTCCCACTCTTTAACCAACATTACTTACCCCGGCTTGGATTCCGGCGTGCCTACGCACACCCGCCGCGTCGTACATCACAATTAGAGTGAAACCCAAACAAACAGGAAATAGCGCATCACCGATTCCGTGCGAGAGTGCCACGGAGGTTGTCAGCCCGACACAGAGGGCAGCATGAGACGACGGCATCCCGCCGGAAGATACCAATTGGGACAAGTCCCACTTTCCCTCTTTGTAAAACGTGGTGAAGATCTTGAGTACTTGGGCAAGCAGCCAAGCAAGGAATCCCGACATGAAAGTCTGGTTGCTCCTCAGGGCCGCGACCACAGGGGAGAGAACCTCCATCGCCGCCTGCGTCGGCTGAGCGAGAGTAGTGCTCAAGAGAGCGACCGGTAGACCCCAACCACCTTGCTTCAACAATGCCAGGTCAGCAACAACAGGCACGCCCCTATACCACGTGGCATCCAACAGTCCCCTCCCCCTCTCCCGACACTCAACATCTCCTCCTCCTCCCCCTTCTGCTGGCTCTGCTCTCCCGCGCTTAAACATTTCCCGCCATTTCCTAGGATGGGATGAAAAGGGCGCCAACCCCCCCCCCCTCCACAACCGACGCCATCCCGCCGCCGTACCCCTCTCATGCTTGTCACTTGACCCACTCTCCCCCCCCATGTCGGCAACCCCCTCGCGGTACCTTGCATCTGGTCGTTCTTCACCTGAACCGCTAATTACCCCTTCTACCACGTCAGCGTTCCCGCCTCTTCTCTGCCCTGCACCTGTCGCCTCCCGCGCCGTTGATTGCACAATCGCTCTCATCACGACGGACGAGAGGAGGGTCGCTGTATTCCACGTGGCAAGCGTAAGTCCAGCAAGATTGAACAACGGAAAGGTGAAGGAAGTATGGGAGGAAGACGAAGAGGGGATGGCGATGGCGGCCGCGGAGGCCGACATCGTCATAGCAGCCGTCGGTACACAAGAGACGCATGCCCCTCGACGACTTCTTGTCCTCCACGTGGATGCCCACGAGCCAATTGACGATGGAAAGCAGTTGGAAGGAGAGGCAGAGGGGACGGAGGAGGAAGAGGAGGAGGAGGAGGAGGAGGAGGAGGTGGTGGTTCGAGAAGGGAGAGATGGGACAGGTGGGAGAGAGGCCACTGGCTGGTCTCTTGAGGAGGAGCTGACAGCTGCTGCTGCTACTCCAGACATCGAACACGAGCGGGCACACCCACTAGTACTAGAATCAAGAATCCTCAAACGCGTCGCTCGATCTACTAACGACACGTGTCGGACAGAGGTGAGACCTCGGCTAATCGAAGAAGAAGATGACCCGTCGTCTGCAAAAACAGCCGCGATGGCAGCGCAACCGCCACGTGGCGCGCGCTCTTGTGATGACGAAGAAGCACAACATCGAACACTGACGCAAGTGAGGACAACATGCATTTCCTCACAGCAGAGCTGCATCGCGATCTCTTCCCCGCTTCCGATGGCCCCGCGGCACCCCCCACTTCCATTGCCACGTGGCGCGAGAACAGCAAGCCCTGCAGCTCTGACCTGCATTCCCCCCCCCACCGACGTCGCCGCCGCTGTCGCCGCGACGGCCATCCTGTCAACGTGTGCGACCCCGCAGGCGTTCCGCCGCCGGCCTGTCGCCAAAAACCCGTCGAAACCAACTCCCGCCGTTCTCCTGTGTATATATATATGTCACACTCACATATATATATACCCAATCATTATCGACCTGATTTGACGAGCGATCGGTGAGCCGGCCGGTAGGACGGCCGGCCTATGACCGTCACACGTGGCAGACCCAGCGGCTTTCCCGCGCTTTTCAGGCGCCACGCGCGTGATCGGTTTTTTCGGGGAATTCTTCTCAGAAATGCTCACGCAGTCATTGCTCGGGCGACGGATAGATGGTACACGAAGAGCAGAGAGACACTGGTGCTGCTGAAGACGTCCACTTGCACTGAATTGATTGATTGATTAAATGCCAATGACGTGCGGAGGCCACTTGCGCAGTCAGCGCACCACGTGTCCCGACCTTGTTGCCTCATCGCGCCAACTCGTCTGGACTTCACGACACCCTCAATGCCCGCGAAGGGGGGAGATGCGCATCTAGATCCGAAATCAATCAATCATTAATAAGCCCCCGCCGTTGCTCTCGCCCCATCGCTCCCTCCAATACGAGCCCGCTCTCGACTTTTCATCACAAACTGTCAACGTCACGCCCAAATGCGAACGACCCCAGAATATTAAAATTCACTCACACAAACACACACACACACACACAAAACACCGACAAAACACACATCGCCCCGCGCAAACTGCGCTACCAGAGCTTCACAGAAGGACGGGAGGTAGAGGTGGTGCCCAAGGCGCAGATCTCCGTCGTGCCTCCCTTCCGCACGAGGGACAGGGCCTGGTCTCGCTCCACTACTCTCCGCATGCACAAAGAGACACAGAATTTTTTTTATTTTTATTTTTTTTATTTTTTTTTTGGCGGTGGTGTGCTCCCTGCCGGTGTTCGCCCGCAGATTCGCTTTGATAGGCAGTCACGTGACTGCGCCTTTTGTACAGAGGGTACAGGGAGTTGACGAAAACCGCCTGCCGCCTTCGGGCGTCGCCACACCACTCTCCAAATATGTGCAAAATGAGAATGAACATCCTGTTAGAACATGGCCAGATGCACCCGCCACATTTCTTTTTGGTCTTGTCCACCTTCGGCCTTCGGCGGGTGCTGACACCCGCCATGGATACTCAGGGCCTCGTCGCACTACCCGCCATCCGCCAACATTTTGATTGCATGTGGACATTATTTTGTCCAGATGCATTCGAAATCTTGGCGGATGAGGCCCTGGTTGCACTACTCGCCATCCGCCAAGATTTCGAATGAATCTGGACAAATAGATGTCCACGTGCAATCAAAATGTTGGCGGATGGCGGCCCCAGCCGAGTCGGACGGATGGGAGAAGGCTCTCGGGATTGCCGAATATTCCGACATCGTACGTGAGTGGTGGGCGGTACGCTTCAGCAACAACTCCAGCGTTCGAATCCGCCGAATAAAGGGCCTCGCTACACTACTCTGCAAATGTGCAAAATGAGACTGAATCCACCGCTAGAATACGGAACGATACGTTGCCATCTTTTTTGTTCTTTTGTGAATGTGTGAATGTGGAGAGTAGTGCAGCGAGGCCCAAAATGACGGCAAAGCGAAGTGGCCACGTCCGGCCGTTACAAAGATCAACGGTCAGAAATGAAGAATAGGGGCTAGTGGGATCTGGCCCAAAGACCCTCAAGAATATTCTCGGGCCGCCGGCATTGCAGTCGGAACACCCCACAAACCGCAGGATGGGGGCCCAACTCCGCCCCAGGGGGGAGCCGCCCGCCGGCACCCAAACCATAGAATGGGGGCCGCGGTGGGCCTAGCGCAGTTTTGTTTTGGGAGTAAGGCACACAAGTTGCATTAGGGAGGTCGTGGCTTCAATTCCCATAAGATCTCACGTACGTGCTGGGAAATGCTTGGTGTCCCACCATCCAGAGAGAGCCCGTTGGTCCCCGGGGCCACCATGGACAGGACGTTGGCGAACTTGAATATTGTTGGAGCTATGAAACAATGATATCGTCCATCAGACACCGCTGTGCGGTTGGGGGCTGAAAAGGGGAGGTGCACCCACTGGCCATAGCACCCGGAACTGGCTTTGCCGGCATCCTCATTGGCAACACCTAATGAGGGGTTGGTACAGCTTTGCTGTTGGACAACCCCTGTGGTGCAAACCTACCCCCTGGGCTGGGGAGATATCCAGGTTGGTTGTTGATCTCCCTTTAAGTGCGCGCATGAGAGAGAGAGAGAGAGAGAGAGAGAAGGGGGGCAGAAGGGAAGAGGGGGGGGGGGGGGGGGGGGAACAGAGAGAGAGAGACAGAGAGAGAGAGAGAGAGAAAGAGAGAGAGAGTTTTGTTTCA